ACGAGATTCCGTGCTAATGATGAGTCAACAATGACGATATTTTCTTCTCGATCTCGGCTCGGAAATGAAATTACATCGAATTTTCCAATGGTAAGCAATAAACGCGTTGAGTCTATTAAATTTCTCACTGGAACTTCGGCGAAATTCAAATGCGTCTTTACAGACGAGGACAGGCCTATGACTGAGAGAGAAAGATACCATACGAACGATGTCCCTCGACTTTTCTTCTTCTTTCACAAGAATCCAAGTTAATAAGGAAAATGTTTCAGTGAGAAAGTGTGAGAAAACTTGTATAACACAGCTCTATACCAGAAAATAATTTCCTCGAAAGAGACTAAAGTTGGCTAATTCAGTATATTACCGAGTATCAAGTGCCTAGTCAAAGATAAAGACAAAAAAAATGAAACAAATGTATAAGTATACAATTTTGTTCAAACATCAAGAGCAATTCCCATTTGAGATTCAAAGAAATTCACCAAGTTCTGTCTATTCCAAATACAAATTTCTAAAGAAAATTCATAGAAATGTTTTGACAATTCATAAAATACTAAGAGAAGAGAAGGATTACTCTATGAATTTAATTCTATAAATTCATTTAAGTTTCCAGACAATTTATCATCTAATTTAATATATAGAATTTCTTCCCGTATTAAAAAGATAATCATAAGATTCTATTTAAAACTGTTGAAACAATTTCATTATAATATATATATACAAATTCATAAATAATAAATAAATAATTTCATATATAAATCCGTAGAAATGATCTATAGAAAATTTCATCAAATATTCGTGATAAATATTTTACAATTCGTTCTGTAAAATCTTTTCTCATTTATCTCAAAAAAAAAAATACCCCTGAACAATATCATATATTAAATTTTATAATAATTAATTAATTAAAAGCCAATAAAATACAATTTTATTAAATGACAATTAATAAAAATATGTAATTAATAAAAAAAAACGATTAGTTTATAAATAATTAATAAAATTTAGAAAATAAATCTCTCGCAAGCGTTTATATGAAAGATCCACTTTTTAAATTTGATAACAAATGAATATAGTAGGAAACGATGAAAGAAAAAAGAACTTCATTTGGTGAACGAACGATAATAATTGATAATCGATCTAAAATCGTTATAAAATATTATTAAAAGGAATAATATATTGTAACGAGACATGCGTTGAATTTGCACTGAGCTGTAATTGTGTCTCGCGTGTTTACATCTCGGAGAAAAAAGGAAACATACGTATAGAAGTAGGGATAAACATAGTTTGGCTTTGAAAAGATCGATGACGATTGTTTACCAACGTTCTTTTCGTTCTTAATCTTGCAAAGATTAGACTTAATATTAACACCTCTCCTCAAACGAATTTATTCTTTTATCAAATAGATCTGTGTTTTTTTCAATATTTTTATTATAATATAACGCAATTAATAGACAACAGAAGAATTAACGAACGTTTACCAATATTTAATATTTCATTTTGTATTTTTGAAACTAATCGAATTAATAACAATATAATTTCTCGAACGAATTTATTTTTCTGTAAGATCAAATTTATTCAATTTTTTGTTATACATATTTTTGTACTAAAATTTCATCGAAAAAACATTCACTGTGTTAAAAAATATCTTTTCCCCAACGTCTTTCCAAGAAATCAACAAATGATCGATTTTTTATATACTTTGTTGTTTAAAAAACTTGATCGATAGACGAGCAACAATTTTTTACAAAATTTCCTACTTAATATTTTAACCAATTTTTATATTGATTCATTATTTTTTCATTATTTAACAAATTTCTTCGTATCACAAGAGAAGAAGATCTTCTTTTAACAAATTTTTATTATAATTATATCAATAATTTGGATTAATATTTAAAACAATTTTTAATAATCTAATCGTTATTTTGTTATCATTTAAGAACTGTTTGTATTATTTTTGTTCACTTGTTTCATTTTGAATCAGATAAAAAGTAAAATTTGATTTAAATTATCTTGTTGTGTCTGCGAAGCTAATCAATATTTGTCAATTTAAATAAACCACTGTACGTATAACAATATTAATAATTAAAATGAAGATAAAAACTTATATAAACTTATACTTCTTAATATTATATTACGTAGGTATTAATTTTTGACATGACATTAATTATTGACTTTTTAATTATCTACCCTCTTTAGCGTCTCCTAAATGTACGCAAAAGAAAAAATGGTCTCCGGACAAAGAGAATTTAAACAACGCAGGATTAGAGCAATAACGATTGTTCTTCGTAACAACGAATGTTAAATCTTAATGAATCCCCTTTGTCAGACATTTCTGTCGTCGTGAAACATCCCGTTGCCCGGTTCCTTCTTTTCTTTTTTGGTCTTTTTTACATCACGATTTGAGTCAGCACTTAGATTATATGGTATATGAAACCCACAAGAGCTTTCAAAAAGAAGAAAGAACGCGAAACGTGTACATTAACATTGTAGTTGTGTGTTTTGCTTTTAAATCACATTTAATGTGATCTTTTCATTCTTCCTTTATTATTCTTTCCCCAAATTTATTATTAATATTCTTCGTCAGCAATTTCTTCTTATCCAATATCCAACAAGATTTATATCTAACGAATCTAAAAAAAAAAGAAGGAAAGTTCAGAAAGGATAGAAAATTAAATAGAAATAAATAAAATATAGAAAATCAATGTAGCAAAAAAATATTCCATCGTTTAATATGAATGACCAAAAAGTTGTTCCTCGATAACTGTAGACGGATAGAAAACTCCTTGGTGTCTCTCTTCGTCAGAAATTAAAAAAAAAAAAACGAAAAAAGAATCCTTTAACTCTACGTCTACGATGATGTCTACTACAGCCGTCTTACTTCCACGAAACGATTTTGCTAAAGCCGTTCTTCCGCCTACGCTTTTACCCCGAGTGAATAAGAAAAAGAGAGAGAGAGAGAGAGAGAGAGAGGCAAACAGACAGAAACGGACAGTACGTATCTTCAAAGAAAATTTTCCACGATACGAAAATTATAAAGACGAAATTTTGAAAAAGTCGATCCTCGTAAATTTTCTTTAACTCTTTGATCTTTAAAGCGACATTTGCATATTGTTTCTTTGTACCATTAAAAAAAAGAAAAAAAAAATAGAGAGAGAGAAAGATAGATAGATAGATTATCTTTTGAAACTAGAAAAAAAGATTCATTATAGGTGATCACGTGCCACCGTGTACATTTTAAAATACCCGCGAGAACATTTTCAAGAGATCGAGATCGCTTTGCTTTGATATGATTGGTCGTTGGACCAATTACGATTTCGTCAGAGTTCAAACCACGACGAAGACGAAGACGACGAAGACGACGACGATGAACGATGACATCACTGGTTCTATTCCTGGCGATGTGGACGCAGCGATATCTTTAGAGCAACCATCGTTTCATTTCGTTTCCGAGCTTTCCTTCCTTCCAGATCGGAGTCGTGCCAGCCAAAGAGGATGAAATGAAAAATAGAGAAAGATATAGTAGATCTCGAACATGAAATCATTGCCTACTTGGAAGAGTAAACGTTATATATAAATGTATATTTCATTTCATATGATATCCATTCCATTACAATTAATTCTTGATGATAAAGATTCATAGGGAACTTGGACATGAAAAGAAGTAGAACTTAATTTGACCAACTTAGTTAAATTAAGTTCTATTTCTTTTCATGTCCAAGTTCCCTATGAATCTTTATCATCAAGAATTATAATTTTGGACGAGAGAAAATACTGAATTACAATTAATATCAATTTAACGATTATTTCCTAAATATTACTTCTTCATACAAAATACTATTTATAATATACTTTATTATTGTGTATCAGATAAGAATATATAATATAATCTTTTAAATATTAATATAAAAACTATATAAGCAAATATATAAAAAAAAAGAAACAATTCTAAATTAAATGTTCATTTGACTTTTTTTTTTCCCCCCCTTATATGCGATTAAATACAACAAATCGTTTGTGGAGCGAAAAATGGTGAACAGTCTTAAGGGTGGCACCATGCCAAGGGCAATAATTTTGTGCTAACGGTGCCATCTCCTGTTACTACTCTGTAGCTTTGTTCTCTTATTAAAAGAAAAATGTGCATGAATATATTATATATATATATATATATGTACAATCATATGCATACAAATATTCACATAGTACGTGATACCCTATGTATAACGAATATTCACTTCGCCCAGTTTATTTATTCAACTCTCATTCTGACTTACGATCAATGACCGTTCCTTGCAAATGAAAAACATTGCTTGCTGTAATTTACAAATAATCTACATAAAGTAATGTTATAATATATATATATATAAAACAAAACAATCAATGAGATTAAGTTTGAATAATTTGAATTGATCAATCTAATCGAAACAATCGATAATCTAGTTTCGATAATGATTAAATTTCAATCAACATTTCGTCCCATCTTCAAATTCTTCGTAACATGAAAATCTTTAAATAAAAACACTTAAAAACCGTAAAACCTTCAAGAGACACCATTGTTAATCAGCATAGTTATCATTATTATCAATATCTAGGAAAATGAAATACCAAGATTGCTAAAAGTTCAGGGAAGCAAATCGAATGACATGGTGACTATGAGAAAAGAGAGTTACTCATCCAGCACGTTTCCACGTAAGAACAGCATGGAAAAAGAGGAAAAGGAGAAGTAGATGTATAACCGAGCTATCCAAATAATCTCTTGTTAACACGATCGACCGGTTCTTCCTCGAAACTCGACGTTACCTTTACAGATGGGTTCGAGACTTTACGAAGAATCATCAACGTCTTCGAACGATGTACTAATGTTCTCAAGGAAACATCATCGTTCCTCTCGAAGATAGAAGAGTTAAAAGATCTTGAAGCTGCCAAGATCGTTTAGCAAGAGTTCAAACGAGATGTCATCAACTTCCTGGTAGATAAAAAGAAAAGAAAAGAAGAAAAAATCCAAGAAAATGGATCGTTACGTTTCAACTTATCGCAAAGATTACACCTGGCCTTATCCAATAAAACAAAAACATAAACTTCCAACAGACAAAGATGAGATCTTTCGAATAGGTCCTTGCACTTGTGGCATGGATCCAAAAGATCTTCAGGTAGCTAGAATGTATGGTGAAAGATACGATTGGAGTCGAGTTAGTCCAATGGGACCACTTTTGGATCCTAAACTATACCCTGCTAAAACTGGTCCTAGTCCTGAAACGGAAGAAACACGATTTGGGCAGCCAGATGTTTACTTGAAAAAGGTTCATCATTTGAATATTAATTATCTATACTAGTATCGTCATTTTTCTTTTAACGTTAAGTGTTGATAAAAAAAAAAAAAAAAGAATAATATTTAATAAATAAATATATAATTTATCTGACAAATGTTTGATTTATTTAGTTGGAAGAAAAGTATCCCTATTTATATGGAGTTATAGAAGGTGGGCCACCTCGAGAAACAATTATGGATGTTGAAAAAGATAGAATGATGACGACGTACATGATGGATTACAACGGAGGTAAAAAAAACAATAATGACGACGACAAGAATGACCAAAAAAAAACGAATTGAATTTTTTGTTGCACAAATATTTCTATACACATCTATATCTCTCAACACAGGTAGAAGATGGAATGAATCTGCTGCGATCACCGATGATGTACAAATTTGCGATTCTACGCGATTAAACGCCATTAAACGCGATTGCCGTCCCCATATTCGACCTCCTCTACGAAAATTTCCAAGTAAATTCGATCGAAAGGGGAAAGATAGAATTTCTCGTAAAAAATCGGATGACGTGGATGGGCAGGAATTAAGAATACCATCATGGAAATCAGAATACCAGGACAATATCGGCAAAGTAGGACATGCTATAATGAAGTACAAATTGCATTATCCTGAAAAGAAGCTCGTGCCGATACGATTGATAACTAATTAAATTTATAAATCATCACGAAAAAGGAACAATAAAAATGATTAACAATTACATTATAAGAAACTATTTCTGTGTGTTGTTCGATAAATAATAATAGTAAAAGCTATATTCAAGTCATACAAAAGATTCTGAAGTTTGTCCTACCAAATAGAACTTTACTTATGTAAGATTATAATGATAGAAAATTTTTAGTACAAATTAACATGTATTTAAACAAAAGTTATAAATCATAGTGATTAAAATGAGTACTAATCGTTTGCGAAGTTCAAGTACGACTAACAAGTAAATCTAATTTTTCCTATAACTTTTTACTAACTAATGTGGTTCATAAATTATAGAAATATATATATATACCTTTTTTTATTTATTCGAGATGGTCAACGAAGATTAAGGAAAATTTAAAAAAAGGTTCGCTTAGGACATCGTCTACATTGGACACTGGCTGGAACCAAAATTTACCCTCCCATGCATTAAGATCTACAGCGTCGTCGAATATTTATCAGTCTAACACATTACCGAGTGAACATGATTTCAAACGATCGGAAGAAAAAACGTCGGAAGAAACAATTCTTATTGAAGTAGACAGTAATGTTAGTTCTCTTATATATTTACAATATATATAAATTGATTGAATAATAACTTAATGACACGCGCAACCTAATAAACTTAACTAACAAATGAAAATGAAAATTGCTGATAAAAGTAAAAAAATGTTAAATGAAACTTTGACGTTATTTATAGGTCGATGACTACTTGATTAACCCAGATATAAAGAATGTACCTATCAAGCAAAAAAATGATGCACTCCTTCGACGTAATTATCGTTATATTTGCGATTACCCAAACCTTAATGTTACACAAGCAATGCTAGCTATGCAAAAATTACAAAGACTTAAAGAATTACAAAGGAAAAGAGACCTAACAGAAAAATATTATTCTCACGAGATAAGGAAACTATTAATCGGCGATTATTTTAATCCAAATACAAAAACTGAATTGTCACCATTGAAATATAATTATTATAATAATAATAACAATAATAGGGTACAGAGATCAAATTTACTTCAGCCATATTTAGGTGATCGATTGAAGGATGATTTAAAAGTAAATCAACTATTGATCATTTATTTTATTTGTTTAATTCAACGATCAAAAAAGTACATTTCCTTTATTTTTCTTTTGAAATAACACATAAATATATTATTTGGATTTGATATAAAAAATAAAAAATATCATCCGAGAGAGAAATATGTATAATGATATTAATTTGAATTTGTAGCTCAAAAGAGTTATCCCTCCAATAGAGTTCCCTTAGAAATTCCGCGTTTAATTTTAGAGTCTGGAACCGTGTGGCACGATGACGACGATCACCCGTCTGGATTGCGGATGCATTCAAGAAACGACAAGACCTATTTTCACCACGACGACAGGTCGAGTTCAAAAAAAGACTTGCAATCAGTCGCAGGATCAGGTACTTCTAAAGTTAACGTCCTCCAATCCTCAAGAATATCTTTCCTCGCCGTTCGAACTAAACAATTCTGAACAATACTCATTAAAATCTAAGAAGAAACGCGTTGAAATAGACTCCAGAAACTATGGATTAAATTCTACTGATGTTGTTGATCGTGAAATCGGAAAGGAACACGATCATCGTAATCCAGGAGATGTTCGAGCTTTACATAAATGCAGCGACACGTCAACAACTTCTATTTAATATCTTCTTATTTACCTTGACTATTATTATATCATTTCTATATTGATAAATTATATATATTATATAATATTCTTATTAATTGTTATAGAAATAAATGAAATCTAACGAGATATTGATCATTTATCAATCAATAAATCTATTCAATTAAAATTTATCTCACATACATAGGATAAATGTTATCCTTCCTAAATTTGATTCTATATTATTCTTAACATTACACAAAATTCTAATAATATTTACCAATTAACGGAATCAATAAATGCAAAATTAAATCCTTATACTTCCTCCCCACTCTTTCATAAAATTACAAATCCGACAACTTCACACACACATATATATAATAATGTCGAAAAATTTGAAATCAAAAATAAAAAGCTAATTAAATTAATAATGCAGAGAATGTGGTAATAATCGATTAAACCGAACGAATATCGTCCAAATTATTTTAAGAGCCATCTCCTACATTATAACTAATATAGTTTTATTTTCACACAATCATGCGCTCTGATCTATTCGAAAAATGATACACTATTGACAGATCATTGTCATAGAAAGATTTAACAAATGTTCGGATCCAAAATTCTCTGTGTGAATATTTCTCTAATTTTCCCTAATGAAGATTAAATTAAATTATTCTCGTGAAAGATAACGAATTCTGATCATGGATACTTTTACAACAATTACTCAGAAAGATTTTGCATGGCCTAATCCTAAACCACTTCTTGCTAAACCAGCACAACCTCCTATAAATACTGGTACTCGATTATATCTTCATAGATCCAAAGTAGAGGATTCCAAATGCGACATTCATGGTTTCAAAACTGACAAAAACAGGTATAACAACTTGTTTAGTTTCTTATTTTAAGTGAAATAAATCTTAATTTATACATCTAATTTGATATTTCTTTTTCCTAAATCTTTCAAGATACGTTCAATTGGCCAATAAAGTACGAAAACTTCAAGATGAACTGATTGCTGTTAACCATGAAATGGCAAATCTCACAACGACTTTGTTGGACAGTAGCTGCGAAAGCGATAATGAAACAATGAAAAGTCTTTATGAAATTGATTATCAGAAACAAGGTAAATTACAAATAAATATAGTTGGAATACATAATAACGAACTCTTAACATATAAATTAAATTAAGATTAAACTTAACAAGAATACAAATAAGTCTGAAATAAAATTAAAATGAAATGAAAGATCCTTTTTTTCAGGATTACCTATAGCTCATTACAAAACACTTATGGCAGCTGTTGATTCTCCTATCGGGGCTCCCATCAAACCAGCAGTAACTGATCTAAGAAATGCTTATAGAGATCCAACTAGATTTAGATATTCAGCTATCGAAAGACCAACCATTGAACCTGCTAAAACTATCAACCTATTGGCAGGTAAAACAAATATTACATCTATTACATTACATTGCATATATTCTCTCATCATATATATGTAAATTTGTTCTAAACTTATTTCTAAGATGTATCCAAATTATTTCTGAATTATTTCGAAAAATTATATATACAGTTCCAGAAATCTTTACTCTTTGGAACGAACCGTTTACTGGTAAAACGGAATACGAAGATAATATCAGTAAAATGGGACTATGCAATATGAGAAATCTCCAACAATATTTAGATCCATTACCATCTTCGAGAAATAGATTTGGAGATTGTAGACTTCAATAGCAATCTCTTATTAATTAATTATAAGAAGGAGCATATGTGAAATTTATCAAATTTTAACATATAGCAAATATTTAAGCTAAAAAATAACAACCATTTTCTTGACAGTACTTGCGTTAAAAGTTACAAATATATTCAATTCTACAGTATCAATCAACTTATTTTCTTGTTTGAAAATATCAATCAAAGCACTATCAATTACCATATCTCACCGTGTGTGTAAGTTACTACTCAAAATTTGTAAAAAAATATTCATTAACACAAATAATATGTGACATTCCCACTGATCCACATGACTTTTCAAACATCAATTTTCCAAGCTAATTATTAAACAAACAAAACATTTTTTTCCTAATAACAATGGTTTTTGCCAATAAAAATACTTTTTTATTCTTATACTAAAGAACTGATCTAAAAATGAAAAATGTGACAGAGTTGTGTAGAATATTTAACACCAAATATTAAAAAGATATCACAAAAATATCAAATTCAAAAAGAAATCACAAACATCACAATTGTAAATATTTCATATATTCTAGCAGAATATTATTATTAATAATCACAAAGAAATCAAAAATTATTTCATATTACTTTGTCATTCAATGCAAACAACAATAAATCATTGCTATCTTAATTATTCTTTATAATTTATTATTTATAGTAAATAGAAATATAGTTAGGGAATAATTATGAATTAATTTATATAATAATAAATAATATAAATCTTTTAAACTAACCTACAAAAAATAAACTAACTGATTTAACTAATTGTAAATATGTGTTTTCCAAATTGTATACTTATGATCATGCACTTTACGAATTATATTTTCTTCATTATATAATAGCTTTCATTTATACAACGAATAAAAAAATATACATATATATAAATTTCTATTATAGAAAAGATATCAATCCTAGCCATTAACCCATTGTAAGTACATACATATAGTTTAACGCTGAATAAATATTATAGAAACTGTATTAAACGAATAAAACTTATTTTCTTGTTTGAAAATATCAACTATCTCCTAAACATATTTTTCGTTAAATTGAATATAATATCGATGAAAAAATATTAATTAACACTTTATTCTACTTTTGGGATGTGTAAATGCAGAGAATTCTTATGCGTAAACCCATAAATACATTGAATACACCAAATATTTAAAATCAAATAGATAATTTGTATCGTTGGATTTAATAATGCACGTGCATGATGCAAATAGAGTTGCGTTTGTATGTGTTGTTGAATAAAAAAAAGGAAGCAACTAATCGAACTCGCACCGTCTGCTACATTATATCGACCCGGTATATTTCACAATCATTTCTCCATACAAAACAAAACATGACACGAAATGTTTCGATACATCTTATCCTGAGTACTAAGGGAATCCTTTTTGGTATAATTGCATTTTTTGTATTATGCGTTGGCTATGGAAATCACGAAGTTGGATTTTGGTCGATTTTATCAGGTTAGTTTCATTTATTTCCTTAATTCATAATGTTATTTCATAATAATAATAATAATAAGAAGAAGAGGAAGAAGAAAAAAAAAAGGGGGAAACTTTATCATATCTGCGATTAAGAAAATACGGTAGAGACTTGTGTTTGTATTTTCCCATTCGTATCCCTAAAAATAGTATATATTATTCTATATAAAGAATTGCATGTAATTCTTAGGCATACTTGCCAGTATTTGTTTCCATTTGAATTGGCTAAAGGACAGAGAAAGTTTGGACAGATGGCATACGAGAGTTACATTACGCCACTTAAATGTTGTAGGATTTATTAGTGCAGTATCTGGTATAACTGCATGGATTTGGTATCTCTTTCTTACATTTTATCAGTCAATCCGTAAGTAAATTGTTCATTTTAAAAACCCTGCCTACAGATATTATTCCCACATATAATTATTTATAATTAGATTTAACCGATTATAAAAATGTTCTCTGAAAAAATTTAATTTGTATTGTAGCTTTATTACCAATTTCTGAAAGTACTGCTATTACTGCAGTATGGGCTTTCATTTGTGGAACATGGGGTATGTTCTTAATGTTTTACTCCAATAAATTTGAATTACTTCTTCAAGAAGGAACAGATCCTATTCTCAATGAAAGTACTGCTTAAAGAATTTTATACTTTGTTTAAATATTCATATTTTTCTAATACAAAATGTTTTATTCCAATAAATATAAATTACTTCTTCAAGAAGGAACAAATCTTATTCTCAGTGAAAGTGCTGCTTAAAGAATTGTATACTTTGTTTAAATATTCATATTTTTCTAATCAAGAATATATATATATATATACATATACAGAAAAATATTTTATTCGTAAATAAATCTTTAAATGATTACCTTTTTGTTTGTTTTATTTTAATTATATCCTATTCCTTGAATAACAGTTTTATGAATAATATTTTGTACTGAAAGTAATATTGGATAATAAAAATTAAATATAAAATAATAAGATTAACAGTAACATGATAATATATCAATTAAATTAACTGTGTTAAAATAGTCTTCGAAATTATTTAATAAAAATTGTTCAATAAAATCATAAAGAATGGTACGTCTATGATACATTTTACAACTTACATTAAATGTATATATTGGAGCATTGGTTACGATGGCTTTAATTTATACAAAGGATTTACTAATATATAAATTCCTAGCATGGAAGAGACCAATCCACAGATGCCTATAATTCCAGGCGTTAACTTAGTGTAACCTAATGCTGTCAATGGGATAAATAAATCGCATCCATTTTTAAGTGCATCCATAACAATGTCTTTGTGATCTTTCAAACATAACAATGCGTTGTATTGATCAACCGATTTACATTTAAGTACCGTTGAAATTTTCTTACACGAATGGAATTTTTCTTGTTCATATATTTTGACGATTTCATAGACATCTCTCGTTAAATTTAATATAATATTCATTAACCAATATTTATTAGCAACTTTACTCCACTTTTCTATGTCAACACGGAAAATTCCTACACGACCTAACCAAATAATATGATCCGCTAAAAGGAACAAAGCGTTGGCAATTTTGGATAAAGTCAAAGTGACTCTTACTATTAAATCTGGATATCTCATTGTTGACAGAGCCAAATAAAAGCTATCCAAACATCTTCCAAGACGAAGTACTGTAAAATGAAACAAAAGGTCAAAAAAATGTACGGACAGATGTTAAAAAACATTTTGTACAAATCAACTACATTTTCTAAAAGAACTAAAAGTATATTCCAAGCTGCGTAGAACATCAGAAGACTGTCTTGTACTGTTTATATTTTGCGCATAATACCAATAAGCTCTACTTCCATATTGCAGCAATCTGTAATATATAATTATTATATTTGTTTAATAAAATAATAAATATACATATATATAAATATGTATCATACATGCATATATATATATATATATATATATCTCATCACTGTTTGATTACAAACAACTAAATAATAACATTTGACTTACCTGATAATTTTATCTCTACCTGCTGTTTGTTCATTTAATTTTATAAATATATCCATTTTTGCTTTTTAAGTTTACCTACAATATGTATGGGTAAAGAATTATAATAATAAAATATCTCTCTCTGTGAGCATTTAAACAATAATCTAATATCAAAGAATTCGCCAAACTTTTCTTATTATACAGATCGACATGAATACTGCGAAGGAAATCAAAGTCATTGGCGTGTTTAATTAAAATTCTTTATCGTATTTAAATTTTGCTTACATGAAATTTCAATCGAGGATCAATGCACACATAAAAAAACCTTACGCGGTGAACCTATAAACACATGCACACGCAAGCAATACTTTGACTTTACATGATCAGCGCCATCTTTGTAAACATCGAATGATGTATATACATACTATATATAGAAGGTGTTTATGCGAACGTCGTGTATGTATAAACACATATAAACATAAGTGATTAAAAAAATAATATAAATTAAATTTAACATTAAAAGAACTAATTTCAGTGTTTATATAATTGAAATATACTGAGAGAATAAAAGCATATTATTTATATAGAAATTGATGAGTGTATTTTCTTTTTATTTTTAAGTTAAATTTTAATATAATTGATGATAATGTGAATATGTTGAATTATCCAGAAAAGATTGAAGTCTTGAATAGAAAGAAAATATTTTTACATACAAGTTATGCCTCGTGTAGTATTTGGGCGTTGAAATAAAATATCGAAGAGTTTCTTGTTAAATATACATATGTATAATTAGTAAAACTTTAAGTCTTTTAACGTTGTATTAACAAATATCTATAGTAAGAGCACGATTATGAATGATTATAAAATTTAATTGCAAAGAAATAATTATACACGAACAAATTATTTTAGGTAATTTAGTATGAAAAAACATTGATGACAATAATAATTGGACTTAATTTAATATGAAACTTTCAAGCTAGCATTAAAAAAAAAGTATAATAATAATAACTGTAATATAAATATTTATCTAGATACGTTATATAAGACAAAGGATGTTTTAAACAGATAGCAATACAATATTGTATTAAAACTGGGAGGAGAAGAAGAAGAAGAAATAAAATAAAATAATATAAAATTCGTATATAGATGAATACTTTCCACTTACGTTAATCTCAGTCAATGAATATTAATTATCATGAATAAAAATGGAAAGGGTCCATTATAATATTTTATAAAGCAAAAAGTTTTGATTTCTCCTTTAAAAAGTAATACATTATTAAATGTATACGAATCATTGAAATGTAGCATTATATAGCATATACATCATAAATAACACTAATTTAATTGCATCAAAACGAGGCGTGTTAAATGAATGAAAAATAAATAATACATACACGGAGACCAATGTTTTATGACAATTTTTCTTGAGTTAAATAATTGTGAATATATTTCACAGCGGATCGCGCTCTTCCCTTGTATTTGAATCCCGGTGTAAGTAGAATAGCATTAACTGTATAAAAAATATGTTATATTAAGTTGATACAAATATAAAAGATAGTATTTCTTAATATTTATATTTACCTGCTATATAAGATAAAAGAAGATTATTGATTGTATTTCCAAGCCATGCAAAAAGCACCAAAAAGATCATAATCGTTCCATAGTACTGTAATAAAGAATATATTACATATACTTATCCTCACATTATTTATACATATTTATCGATAAGAACTTACAAAGTTAGGGCGGCTATTGCGCATAGTAACCACGGATGTCCATAAACTTTGCAACTGAAGTATTGCCTCAGATAGATTATGACAAATTTCATTTAATTTCTTTTCTTTTTGTCCTGTCCAACTATCGGCCGTACAAAAAATAGAAATAATAGTTGGAACAAAGTAATCAACAAGAGCCAGGACCAGCAAGGAAAGTGATATTAATGTGAGTAATGCTGGATCCAATATCCAAATCATACTAAAATCATAAATATTAAACAATAATAAAAAGATAATTATTTTATTAATATAAGAAAAGAAATAACACGATCCATGTATACACAATGAGTTCTGAACTCACCAAAATACAGTTGTAGTAAGACCAAGAATCAATGCGGGATACCATGGTCTTTCCCACAACAAAATTGAGTTTAATGGGAGAACAACTTCACGCCAACATTCCATTTTCCTCTTTAACTGCTTCATATGCTTTTCCTAAAAACAAAATATAAACTGATTAACACGGAACAAGGAGAAGAAATCTCTTTTATTTTCTAAGGATAAAGACCATAGCAAACATTCAATTAAATCCTTTTCATGCAAGCTATCTTCTAAAGCAAAGAGAATAAGAAAATATAATAAAAAAGTGTATGCAAATTGAGAGAGAGAAAAAAAGCATTACCTTTTCAGAACTTGTGTTGTCTGGCATTGTGTCCAATAAAGAATATGTAAGAGCACAGAAAGAGAGAAAAAGAAAGAGAGAGAGAAAATAGGTATTTAAATTTAGTTATCAAGTTGAAAAAAGTATGTAATATGCGTATAAGTATGAATATACGCTGGGAGATACGTTGCTGGAGGGGAAGGAGGTGGTGACGACGAAACGCTAAGCACCCGCCGGTATTTCGAGAGATCTAAAAGAGATTTAAAAGAACAAAATTTGTCTGATCAACGAGACTAGGAGAAGAGAAGCGTATCAAAAGGGAGAAAAAAGGTTTTTTACATACCGGCTTCGATAAGATGAATTCCTTCGATAAGTTGAAACGTTTTGTTGTTTGTTTCTTTGTTTATTGATAATAATTTGTATATAAAAGAAAAAAACGATCGGATAGATTATTAATTATTCATTTCTAGTGGATTAGAAATGAAGCTTCTTTTACTTGGCGAAAAAAGATGAAAGCATTCCGAGAGAATCGACTTTTGCTTTCGAGATTGTGGGATGTGCGTGGTAAGTGGAAACTCTCGCACGCGATTGGCTGGCAGTTCAAAATGTTGCTTGTTGCAGGCGATCCCTCGCTGTTGGTGCTGTGACGTTAAAGATATTTCTCTGTTCTATCTAAAATACGCGCGACTGAAACGCGTTTAACCGACAATTAATAGGAACAAATAATAAATAAATAATTAAACCAGCAAGATATGGCCGCTGTGAGTTCAGTGAGTATCCAATTATTTTTCCTTCATGAAAAATCTTTTTATCCTCTGGCAGAGCTTTTGTTTACCTTCTGGATCCTATCTACCCTATATATCCTTTACAATGACACTTGATGCCGCGAAAAAGATATATAATGATCTTTATTTCTATTTATTTGTATATCACATTTTGTCTATTTCTTCTTCTCTCTTTCTCTCTCTCTCTTCTCATCGAATAGATATCAAATGTTGAAAATCTTTCGCCACAAATAATACGACGTGTGGCAAAAGAAATGACCGAGCTAACGACTCAACCACCCGAGGGCATACGCGTTATTTTGAACGAGGATGATGTCACAGACATTCAGGCTATCATCGAGGGTCCTTGTGAGTTTAACATTTTATTTTTTTTTTACAATCAATCAGAATGAACGATCATTCAAATTATTATAGATTTTACACACAAAAGAAATGAAAAGAAAATACTTTCTTTTCTGACCATAACCTTGTTTTGATCTCGCATTTGTATATTTCCTAATTGACCTTTAGGCAAATTAAAAATAGATTTACATATCAATCAATGGTCTTTCTATGTTCTAGCTGGAACACCATATGCTGGCGGGTATTTTAGAGTAAAATTAGCTCTCGGTAAAGACTTCCCTCAAGGACCACCAAAAGCATTTTTCCTTACAAAAATATTTCATCCTAATGTCGCGAAAAATGGAGAAATATGTGTTAATACGTTGAAGAAGGATTGGAAATCAGACCTCGGAATCCAACATATATTATTGGTAATATATTATGTCTACATTATAGTATTATATAATATAATATTACAGTAGGATGGTTTACAAGCATCATAGTTTTACATAAATGATAATAGTAATCTATTTGAACGAATTTGTTTTTATAGACAGTAAAATGTTTATTGATAGTGCCAAATGCTGAATCTGCATTAAATGAAGAGGCTGGTAAATTATTATTAGAAAGGTATGATGATTATTCTGAAAGAGCAAAGATGATGACAGAAATACATGCACAGGTAAAGTATAGTTTTGAAGTCGTTAACTACATCATAAACATTATAAATATTATGAAATTTATAAAATTATAAATTGTAGATTCGTAAATATTAATCATAGGAATATTTGCAGGGAGGCGGAAAAGGCAGTAAAGCAGGTCTGGAAAGCTGCGCTTCCTCCGAAGTTGGAGGACCCCTGCCAAAAAAGCACGCAGGTGATAAAAAACTAACAGCGGAAAAGAAAAAAATGTTAAAAGATAAAAAAAGAACGCTTAAAAGATTATAAGACAAAACTGGTCTCCCCCTTTGTCTTTTTTATAATTTAAAAACACTGGTGTGTTAAAGATGCCTCGTATTGTACACAATTATTATTATTGCATAGTAAAAAATTTATTATCTAAACTCGACTGATCTTATTATTAAGCATTTAGAGAATTAATTTATAGAGTCAGTGCGCGATGACTTCCTAAATTATATGAAAAAGCAAGTACAATTCTGTAGTGATCTCTGCAATCGTGGGCTGAGTTTAACAGTCGTTAGGTCCTCTCTGTGGCCTCTACTAGTAAATATTTTTACATATGTACAAAATGACAAATCGTGTGATTATTTAAATAAAATAAATTGTTCTCCATACAGGAAATAAAGCACCCATCTTTTTTTTTCTTCTTTTTCAATTTTTATATTTCTATATGTGCACCTTTATTATTATATTAAAAATATAAATAATAACAAGATATATGTATATGAAAGATAAAGAGGAGTATTTAAAAGGATTATATTTTAGGTAAGCAAGAAGAATTAAATTATGAGAATATTATTTTTTTTTTATTTAGAGTAACTAATCGTCACTTTCTTTTCTTCAGTCTTGCATAGCTGCATTGCGGTTCCTTTGCTGTGTCAATATAAAGTCGTAATACATTATATTACATGCCTAATACTGCATAGGTAAATAATCATAATGTCAATATGATCTGACTAGTTAACGCATATCACAGCCTTATTCTGCTATCAGGTATCATCTATGTATAGTAGTGGCATATATGTGTATTGATATATATATTCACATTCATATGTATATATGTATATATATTATATATATTACATATATATACATATATACACGCGTTATATACACGTTATATACACATATATATCAATGATTTAGAACGATATGTGAAACATATTACAAAAATATAATATTAGTAACAAACATTATTATTTTCATAATTTAAAAACATCTCACAAAATAGTAATGGATTCGCTAAGATCAAGATGACAATGCTTTAAAATTAATCAGATTCGGGGCTAGAAGCACATTCCGTACTTTGATAAACAACAACTGTTAAAGATGAATTTGTTTGTATTTTTCATTATACTGAGCACACACGCGCGATAATAGTACATACAAATTGCATACAGTCTTTACAGCATATCATTACTTTTTTCTTTTTTTCTTTCTTTCCTTCTTCCTTTTAATGTGTCATAAAAAAATCTATTAACTTCTATAAATCATGTGTTTGAATCCCTCTAAAAATTGTATGCCAATTTCCGAAGGAAATGTCAAAAATAAAAAAAAAAAAGACCCATTCAAAATGAAATTGCATATAACGCTTCCTTTTCTAATGGTATAATTATACTTAGTTTCATTTGTATATATCTTATGAAAATAAGGAAAACACAATGTATTGTGTTAGATTAGACGAGAACAAAACTTTATCGTATTGCCAAGAATTTATAGTTTTGTTACTTTACTTCCTTAACGTAAGCCTCCAATTCTGCATCTAATTCTGCAGCAGTAGGAGTTTTTGTTGCTTGCCGACTTCCTCCTCTACCTCCGCGTCTTGCGCCGCGACCTAGAATTTTATTAATTTATAAAAAACAAACTTATTTTTTAAATGAAAAACAAGAAAAACATTTGGACAGATTTATTATACAACAGATTAAATATACCAAATATTAATAAATTACCTCTTACAGGTCCCGAACCACGATTACCTCTAAAACGAGATTGAGTTCTTTGCACATAACTGTTACCGCTAAGTCTTGAGCCACCACGCACCGACGGAACTGGTATTTCGGATGTGGCAACTTGTATGTTCATCTCGCGACCTATAGTTTCATATAAGAGATACAAATTTAATATTAAAAGTTATTAAACTAACTAAATAATCCTACAGGATCTTACATACCATCGAGTGGTACTCCATTATATTGTTTCATTGCTTTGATAGCATCTGCTCTTCTTTCAAATATAACATCAGCGGAGCCTAATGACCGACCTGATCTATCGTAATGTACAGCTGCTGATTTAAGAGGTCCAAATTCGCTGAACAATTCCTAATAATAAACATATATATTCAAACTATTTATTTCTACAAATTGGTGTAATATCTTGTGCAGAGAGCATAAAATACATATTTATTACCTGAATATCCGAATCCGATACCCCAAAATCAAGATTAGATACGAGTAACTTGGTAACACCTGTGCTGCCTATTGCACCTCTGCCAACCTTTTTTACTCCATCAAACATGTCATGTTTCCATGCACTATTTACGTCACCCTGTAGACAAATCAAGCATTTTATTAATTAAACATTTAACTATGGAAAAATGGTACAAATAATTACGTATAATTAAATAGTCACGTATAATTGTACACATCTTCTTCTACTATTTGCAGCAAGAAAATATCACAATAATGATAAGTACAATTGACTTTGTATAGTTTTATTAAGAAAATAGATATATTGTGGAATCAAATGTATATATGCGTGATTGAATGTGTTTATGCGAATGTAAACAAATGTCAAAAAGGACATAAATAGGGAATATAAAAAGGGGTCAAAGGAAACAGCAATTAGTCAATTTCAAAGCTCAGAAAAGTTTAGACATACTATCATATCTTTTTCTAACACAGATCATTAGATCTCATATAACCATACATATTTTAATTTCGGATTAATCTTTTTAAGTTTAGCCTAAAATCCTATCTATCTATCTATATATATATATATATATAAGATATTTCAGTGATTATCAAAATAAGATGTATAAATGGTAGAAATCAAATTATATTGGCAGAATGAACTTGTTTCTCTAAATAATTTCTAATAAGAATTCTTAATGAAGGTCTTCAAAGAATACATACATAAGTAGCATAAATAAATCTAGTTCATAAAAGCGGAAGTAGAAGAAAATATGTCCACGAATGAAAAGCATGTGACAAGCTATACAAGCTATATATATACAGCATATATATATATCATATATATGATATATATATGTGTGTGTGTGTGCACGAGTATATATATTTCTATATATACACACTTAATCAATCACATTTCAATGGCAATAACATATAATGTAAAAAAAAGTGTAATTGCTTACTCTTGTGTATGGAAGAGAAGTTCTTGTGATGCCACCACGACTGCGTCCTCGCATGACGCCGCCGCCACCGCCAACTCTTTGGGTTCTTCGAGCTCCTCTACGAGGCGAGCCACCAACACCTCTACCTCTTCTACCACCCCCTCCTCGCGCTCGCGTTCCTTTATTTTGTTTGATAATATCGTCGAGACTCATTTCTATTTTGTCTACCATCTTCATTTGTAATAATTAATCAATTAATTCACAAGATCACGCAAAAATGAATTAATACCAACCTCCAACGACTTTGTAATAATGGCGGCGAACGAAGACGATACAAGCACGCACGGGAAGTTGGGTATGAACACCATTAACCACGAACTAAGAGTATCGACAATATCTTATATATTGTATAATCGTAGGAACGTTGGCAGCGCCTCTGGTAGCAAAGTCTTCGAAACATTTCAAGATTCACTTTTACGATTGCTTGATTTATATATTGTATTTATTGTGTATAACAGTTATCTTAACAGTATAATTATTAATATAAAAAAATACATGCACACATTTATATAAAAAATATATTCATATAATTTTTTAGGAAATATTACTTAGAAATTATAATTCATCGTTTATATCTATTTTGTTATATTCTTCATAATCATCATCATCATCATCATCATCATCTACGTTATCTTCATCTTTATCTTCGTTAACAAAATCATCTGGATCACAAATTTCTGCAATATCTGTACATAATTTTCTTCTAATGCCAATTTCTCCTTTACTAAATAGAGAAAGAATGGAATCTTCGAATTCTTGTACTATAGCTTCACACTGAAATAAAAACCAAATAATATTTATTTAATAGTAACGTATAAAATAATATTAGAGATGAATCAATGATTGAGTCAATGTACTAACATAATATTTCAAACTCTTATTTAAATCGCCATCTTGAACTAAATGGACTTTACTCATCTCAGAATTCATTTTATCAGACGAATCCATAATATTAAAGATTGTCAGTTGGCCATTTGTTCTATATGTTGCTCTCACATAATCTGACATTTTGTCACAAATCTCGTCCATCGTGTCCAAAATGTGAAGTTCAGAACGTGCCTTGGATACCTTGAAATAATAATATCTTATTAGGTTTTAATTCACACGTTTCAAGCAGTTATTCGAGGAAAAACTTACTTTCCTTCTAATAGTATTTCCATCAGCATCCATCCTATAGCTCCCAACTTCTATTTTTACTGAAGGATCAGTCTTTGCTAATTCAGTTTTAAGTTCATTTACAGTAGCCCTGCAGACTACGTTATATTTATCAATTTATTAACATCTATGAAATTTTTCATATTTATTAATAATTTAAAATAAAGCATATACAAATTTACCTAAACATTTAAGATATTGTGTATCTATTTCTATTGATTTGACAAAAATGCAAAGCTGCAAAGTAACAGCTATAATTAATATGTTCTTCATCTTTGTTTATGAAAATTTAAAGAATTAATAATTGAGATGGTGTGTGAATTTTGTAAATTTTAAACACTTAAATATACTGAGTATATAAAATCCACACTCTATAAAATAAATATTCTATTTAATATTACAAATCTCTTTAGATTTGTCTAATAACTAAGCAATTGACAACGCGTACAACGTATTAAATTGATTTCGAGATAAAAAATCGTAACGTAAATGAAAATCAGTTCCACTAAATGCTGATTGGATGATACTTATATCAACGTGAATCAAATCGATCCAATCAGAATCGACTGAAGTTGTATGTTATTATTTTATAAAATTTAAATAAATTTTCAATAATTTATATATACATCCTTGAGAGCATTTAAAAAATATTCTCAATTATTACACGAAAGAAAAAAATGTTCTTTGATTAGAAAAATAAAAATTTTATATAGTATAAATTTTAAATCACAATAACAATAAGCGATGAGAATTTGGATACTCAATTGTGATTGGTCAATAATCACTAACGATTTGTAAAGAACCACAAGTAACGCGTGGCGTATGATGAATGGCTCTATTGTTTTTTCTTATCGATTAGTTATATGTATCATTTAATAGATCAGTAAATATGATATATTTTAATTTGTTTTTTTTTGGTAATAATAATATTGAAAGGAGAAGAAAAGTAAATTGATTTTTTTTATTTGCTAATCGATTAATAATTTACATATCTTCAAAACTCCAGCCACTCCTTCATGTATAAACACTTCGTAGGTGTAACATCTCCTATATCGCAACAATTCTTCATAACCTACGATATGCATAAACATATTGACATATAATAAACAACAACAGTCGACGAAAATCAAGAAAATGTAAAACTTACAGGACAAACTCCGCAAGGGGCTTTCAATAGCCCTGTAGAGGTTAATAAAGATCTTACGGATCTATACATGTTAGTTCCATCGGTAGACACGGATTTTTCTACTTTTCCGTCGTATATCAAAGTATTTAAAATCATTTCTAAATCCTCAACCATCAATTTGACCTAAACAAAATAAAAAATATATATATATCATTAATACTTGTTATAAGGTATAGTTCATTAGATAAGATTAAAAAATAAAAAACCTTGCTTATTCCTAAATCTGAAATAAATTTCAAAACTTCATGAGATGAGGCAAATGCTATATTTTTGGCATCTAAAGGGCCGCCATCCCATTTGCTTGCATCTTCTCTTTTCTGTTCCAAAAATCTAAGACACTGTTGGTTAAGAATGTCTACAAATTCTGCTTCGAAATCTTGATCTTGATACCATGCACCACCGGTAATAGATCTGTCTGGTTCTAAGTCATAAACCATATAGACTTTCTTTTTATTTGCTGCTACAGATTTCACTGCTTTAATAAACTTTTTATTTTCCAATTTTTTGAGAATTTTATTCAATTGAATAAGTATTAGATTAGATTTAGTTCTTATGTCTCTAATCCATATTCCCTTATTGCCCGCCTCTTCAATTATACTGTAGACAATCTTTTCTTCGTTATCAGAACCCTTAGCTATTTTCGTTTTAGACGGATCTTTTAACAGATAAAGCAATGATCCATTGTGTTTGTACAAATCAAAATATCCTTTAACCAATAACTTATTTATAATCTGTGCTCTTTGGATCGGCTGTAGATTTGGCATTTCGCTCATTAAATCTTTGTCGGATATTCCTTTTGGTTTACTTTGTGCCAATGCTATTATTCTGTAAATATTAAAAAGCAATCAAATACGGTAAATTATTTATACGAAAAGAGTAACATTTATATTATACATTATACTAATTAATTGAAGGTCTCTTAACCTTCATGTTACATCCTTAACCTAATAAACAAAATAATGCATTTATGTACATATATAATATAAGCTTACTTTTGCTCTGTCATATCAAGATCATTAGGATCATTAGCTTTATCCTTCTCTTGTCCTTCCGAAGTACTTGTTTCACTTTCCATTTGGTCTTTTTTCCTTATACTTTGTAGGTTATCTAGAACAACGAAACGCTTCAAAGAGGAAATCTCTCCTAACCAACGAACAGTCTACACTTATATTGTTCAAACGTATAAAGTATACGTGTAATATCACTTGTTTCCGAATATTGATTTGATTATTCTACAATATATATTATACAAAATGGAAGATCCTTTGAATACTACTATTGATTCTTCAAACAAAAACACATTGGAAGACGAGGACCTCTTTATAGGTTATAAGAACTGGGATCGACTAGTCGCTGCTGCTTCTACTGTAACCTAACTTACTGCTCTTATTATCCTAGTTATATTTTATTCAATTTAACAATTTTATAGTATATTTATACTGTTTTTTAGATAGGTTATAAAGAAGGCATAGAAGATGGGCAAGAATCGGTGTTTCAAGAAGGATTTGATATGGGATATAGAGATGCTTTTAATAATGCATTTAAATTAGGAAAATATAAAAGTCTAACTAGTTCTATAGAAGAAAATATTCAACTTCCCTCGGTTGTAAAAACTATACTAAGTGAAACTAAGAAAGGCATGTGTTATATATGTAATGAAGAATCGTTAAGTAAAAACGTTGATAGACAGATAGAAGATGATCTATTTGTGGATATTGTAGAAAAGCAAAAAACACATTCTAAGGATGTTATTGAAATATTACATCAAAATCTTGAATCGGTCTTGATAAAAAATAATATTGATATTCATGGTTCAGTTTTGGATACATAATTCTCGCGTATGTATAATAACAATTTAAGATAGATAATACTATGTTATTATATATGTTATTAAAAAAATGTATTAATAAACGCTGCAGAGTATTTATCGTTAATAAGTTTGTATTGACACGAATGACGTTTTTATATTAGCAGTAAATAAAGAATAAGATACATAAATAATTTCTTCTTTATAAGTATAATCCTTCAGGTGAACCTTCCTTCTTACGATATAAAACACTTTCTTTAGATTTTTTGAAATCATCGCTTGTAACTTTCATACGACGTTCACGTAATGCCATTAAACCAGCTTCAGTACATATAGCCTAAAAAGAAATAGATTACGATAGTAGAATTCACGATAAATGTCTTTAAAAATGTTGTACCTTTATATCGGCACCAGATAAATCATCCTTTGCCATAATTAATTCAGCTAGGTTCACGTCTGGTGCCAAGGTCATTCTACTAGTGTGAATACTAAAAATCCTTTTTTTAGTTTTTTCATCTGGTAATGGAAATTCTATTTTTCTATCAATACGTCCAGGTCTTATTAATGCCGGATCTAACGTCTCTATTCTATTGGTAGCCATAACAACTTTTACATCTCCTCTGCTGTCGAAGCCTAATTAATATCAAACGAATATTATATTAATTTTCTGAAAAATATTTACAGCAAATAATAATAATTAACATTATTGACATTAAAATAATAATTACCATCAAGTTGATTTAAGAGTTCTAACATAGTTCTCTGAATTTCTCTTTCTCCGCCGCTATTACTGTCATATCTTTTAGTTCCTACCGCATCAATTTCATCTATAAAAACTATAGAAGGAGCATGCTCTTCCGCAACTCTAAACAATTCTCTTACAAGTTTAGGACCGTCGCCTAAATATTTTTGTATCAGTTCAGAACCGACGACTCTAAGAAAAGTTGCAGATGTTTGATTGGCAACAGCCTTTGCCAGAAGCGTTTTACCCGTTCCAGGTGGTCCATAAAGTATAACTCCTTTCGGCGGTTTAATACCCATCTCTTCGTAATATTCAGGATGAGTTAATGGTAGTTCTACGGATTCTTTGATTTCTTGAATTTGAGTATCAAGCCCTCCAATATCTGCGTATGTTTCTTGCGGTGCTTTTTCTAATTTCATTACTGTAACCATGGGATCTGTGTCATCGCCTAATACTCCTACTACAGCATGAACTTTGTGATTCAATAAAACAGAACAACCCGGTTCTAATTGATCTTTATCAACGAATGATAAAATCGACACGTAGTGCTCGGATCCAACAGATGTAGAAACTATTGCATGATTGTCGTCTATGATTTCTTCTAATGTTCCAACGGACATTGGTGTTCCACGGAGATCATCTACCTTAGATCTTTCTTCTTCGTTCTTTTCTTCCTGGGGCTTTAAACGTTCTTGATTCCTAATGAACTCCTCTTCCATAAGCAAATAATCTTTAATACGTTCAAGCTTTAAAAGTTTCAATCTACAACGCGTATGAGGTGTTACTTGAGGTAATTTTAAAGCTGCATCTGGACCTTTGGTACGTCTTTTCTTTTTTCCTACCCTCGTAGGTATGGGTGGTTCATATTTCTTCTTTTTATCTTTGTCATCTTTTTTGTCTCCACCTGTACCTCCACTACCAGATTGATTTTGTCCCTATCGAAAATATATCATTATTATTCAATAATTTAAACTATTTTTTCTCCGTTTTACTTTTCATTAGTTTGTATACTTTAATAAGTTTTATTTGTATTACCAATCCATAAATTAACCTAACCATTTCTTTTACGCGATACACTTTTATAGAAAAATTATAATATATGTATATAAATATACGTACACAGGAAAGATTTCTTTTATTTACATTATATTCTAATTACAAATTAATACTATTTTCCACATTAGTTGGAACAATTTTGACAACTTACCATTTTTAATCAACCTGACAACACGACGAGAAACGGCGAAGTCATTCATAGAAATCGCGTTTACAGAGAACGGCTGCGTTACGTGTCGAAAGAAGCGTTTACAATAAGCTGTCCTTTGATTAGTCCAATTTTAACCAATCACAAGAAGCAATTTGAATAACTTTTTCAATATTAAATACGAATTTGATTAGATGGCGTACTACTTATTTTAATTTGTCAATAGATTTATTAACTATTCGATTGTCTCGCATATAAAATGGATAGAAACATCTTCGGAGGAATTATTTCGATTTATATAAAACGTTTTCAAATAATTATCTTTTCTATAGATTGCTTTACATTGCCTAAAACCACCAGGCATTTCCTACTTTGCCTACAATATATATAGTATATGTTATATCGAATATCTCATAAATAAAAAATTTACTAAATGATAAAAACTGTAATTAATAAAGAAAAAACCTAAGAGTACATATGTATAGACTAAATATGAAAAATTTCAAGATTCGACAAATTTAATATACAAATTTCAGTTGAAAATAATTGTATAATTACATATAGAGTTAGATATCCGACAGGAGACTACCTTTATCATATTGGAAAATAAGATTGTTCAATTAATTCCAAACTTAAAATAATGTGCAATAATTATTTCATATAGTATTTAGTTAACCAATGTATAAATACTTAAAAGTTTCTATATGGTATACCAAAAATGGTATTTATGCTGAAACACATTAAAAATAATACAAGTTTACAATTGATAGTACACGGAGAGTATATAATGAATATCTTGCATTAAAAGACCAGGTTCGCGTGCGAGAAATAATATAAGTACAGATTTCAAAATTATACACGTTTAACGCGATTTTCTTGTAATGTACTAAAATTGTTTTCCATTCAATTCTAGACATCTGTCGTACTTCCTTTTAATCTCAGTCGTTACAACTTTACTGGTATATATAAAATCTTTCAATAAATGAACAGAATATAATACAATAGAACAGCGTACACAGAGCGATGTACAAAATATACCAGAAAGGGATGAGACGCATTTGAATCGCGTTTAATTCGACGAGAAAGTATGTTATCCTTCTGTTTAAAGACCAGCCAACATTATTCTTGGATCTTCTATCGCATCTTTAATTTTTCTCAAAAACATCACAGCTTCGCGACCATCGATTAATCGATGATCATATGTTAAAGCTACGTACATCATTGGTCGGATAACAACCTGCAAAATCAATTGTATAGATATTTTCTTTATTTTTTCTTCTTATGTCAAAAAAAATCAAATATGTACCTGTCCCTTAACTGCAATAGGTCTCTCAAAAACACCATGCATTCCTAAAATAGCACTTTGTGGTGGATTTATAATAGGAGTTCCCATGAGAGAACCAAATACACCACCGTTACTTATAGTAAAGGTGCCACCATCCATATCTTCTACAGATATTTTTCCTTTTCTAGCCTTATCTCCTAATGCAGCTAAAGCGATTTCTATATCTGCAAAGTTTTTATTTTCCACACTACGTATAACAGGAACAACAAGACCTTTTGGCGTAGCTACTGCAACGCTGATATCGACATAATCTCTGTATACTATGTCGGTACCATCAATAACCGCATTAACAACAGGTTGATCCTTGAGGGCATAAGAACTTGCCGCTATAAACGGACTCATGAATCCTAATTTGAGGCCGTATTTCTTCGTGAAATTTTCCTGATGATTTTTACGAAATTCCATAATTCGACTGTAAAAAACAAATTGTTGATATAAGTAACAATGTTTTGTACACTTTACCTTAATAAATATTTAATAGTATAATCGAATCATAAATATAACCTCATATCAATTTCATTGAACGTCGTTAACATAGCATTCGTATTTTGTGCATCTTTTAATCTTTCTGCTATACGTAAACGCATTCTATTCATTTTAACTCGTTGCTCTGTTCTCGTACCAATTATTTCACGCGTATAATCTACCGGTGGTAATTGAACTTTTGCTCCTTCCAATGACTAAAAAGTATGGTTTTTCTTTTTAATACGGAATTACTTAAAAATATATATGTATGTATAATAATTTCCCTCACTTGTGCATGCTTGATGGCAGCAACTGGAATAGACGCAATTGGTGGTTGTGGGGGTGGAGGTTTAGCGCTAGGCGGTGGCACAGCCGACGGAGTTACTGGTGCTGGTGGTTTTGAAGCTGTAGGGGGAGGAGGAGGAGGTGGTGGTGGTGATGGTGGTGATGGCGGTGCAGCTTCTACGGGTTTTGCCTTTGATACGTCCGGTGCAGCGGTCGCCCCACCGGTAGCACCAATATCGATAGTACATAATTTTTGTCCTGGCTTAACAGTGTCGCCGTCTTTGGTAAAAATCTCTTTAATTACACCTGGACCAGGTGAGGGGACAGGAACTGAAGTCTGAAATACATATACGTATCGATCTTCAAATATTCTTCTTATAACGATTTAATAATTTATTATAAGAAATTAAATGATATGTGCTTGTAAGCTTACCTTGTCAGTTTCAATTTCACACAAGACATCATCTTCCTTTACTTGATCTCCAACTTTTTTTTCCCACCTCACATCTCCTTCGCTGACACTCTCTGCAAATGCTGGTACTAAAACTTCTCTAATCTCCCCTGTAATAATAAAAAAAAACTCTAACAATACTTTTTATCGACTTTTGTATCAAAAATTTTGATCGAATAATATTTTATAGAGATTACTTTCTTATGATAGAAAGGATAATTAATATTTGCTTACATAATGCAGGAGTAGAACGTAAATATCTAGTTGGGATTTTCCATCTATGAGTTTGGAGATTTGTGGAGTATCTGCATAAAAAAATATAATAAAGAAATTAGTTTGAATTTAAAATGTCTGTAAAGGATTTTATTTCTTTCTCTCATTTCACTCACTCACATACACACATACATACACATTCATATAATTTAAATATTAAATAGAAAATACATAAATAGATTCTCTTTATAAATAGATGATTTCACTTACAATGGAGTTGTGACATCCACATGTTTGGTATGGATATATAATATGCGTCCTACAAAAATGATTTTATGTAATTAATAGGTTATGTGTTCATAGTTATCCTTAATGTCATCTAATGGCACTCTATAAAGATAATGCTTTTAGAACTATGATTATATCGCATATAACTCCCTTAACATATAGTATCCTTAATAATAATTAACCTTACCTTCTTTTTGTAAG